TTACGGTCATACAACCTACAATCTTTCAAAAAAGTGAGTAGATAACCAATAATTAAAAAAAAATAATAAGTATTTTATTAAATAAAAACTTTAATTCAATTAACAGATAATTGCTGAGTTTTCACGAAATTTAACAAAAACTTATTATGCGGACATTCTGTTTTGTACCAACAGTTTCTAAAACGTTTCAATTGCCAGAACCCGAAAACATCCTATCTGTCAAAAAAATATTAAATTGCTGAATAATTGCGAAAATAGTGTCGTTGTTATAATATTAAGATTAAGATTTTATTTGCACTAAATTAGTTAAATTAAAGACATTTAGCGTTCGGAATACGTTTGCAGTAAAAATAAAAGTAATGGAASTGATTCAGAAGCATTTGTCGAAGATTCGCGTACCATGCGATAATACACCAATTTATAAAGATGAATGTGTCTATTCATTTGATACACCGGAAACTCCAACAGGACTTTACGTCAGTTTAAGTAGTTTTYTAAGCTTCGGCGAGCAATATGTAAAAAAATATGCTGAAAAGACTGGAAATGCGGTATTCCTGCATATACATCGTGTGAAGACACCTAAAAAAGGTGTCGCTGCTGCCGATGAAGGGGGGCCGGAGCGTAAAATCACCCGGCTAGCTATTGGTGTGGAGGGTGGTTATAACGACGCTAACGAGAAGACATATGATATTAAAGATGCTTATAGCATTGTGGTTATGCCGGATATTGATAAAAAATTTCCATTTCCTAATGAGGAATTTCCACTGCTTGTAACTCAAGCTGTAGAGGCATTGTTAGCACAAGAGTCTGCTATCGCCAAGCTTGAAAAACAAACACTAACTGGTWAGTTTTTTTAGTTAAAAAATAGTAACAACATAAACCAATATTTGATTTCTTTAAGGCACATGGGATGGAGAGGTACGCCAAGTGTCAAAATACGSAGAATCTTTAATACAACTAGATAATGGCAAGAAAATACCGCCATCTGGTTGGAAATGTGAAAAATGCGATTTAACCAATAATCTTTGGCTCAACCTTACCGATGGYTCCATTCTTTGTGGGCGTAAATTCTTTGACGGCTCCGGTGGTAACGATCATGCTGTGGAGTATTATCGAGAAATGGGGTATCCGTTGGCTGTTAAATTGGGTACAATAACTGTCGATGGCAAGTCTGACGTGTTCTCGTACCCAGAAGATGATATGGTTATTGACCCACACCTGGAAAAACATCTTGCTCATTTCGGCATCAATATGGCAGCCATGAAAAAGAGTGAAAAGTCAATGGTTGAATTAGAGTTGGAAATTAATCAACGGATTGGAGAATGGTCTTTGTTGACCGAAAGCGATAGTGAATTAGAACCACTGGCTGGTCCAGGATACACCGGAATGCGGAATCTCGGCAATTCGTGCTACATAAATAGTGTGATGCAGGTAAATATCTCCAATATTTATGTTTTCTAAGTTATATAATTTATAATGAAAATTCTCTATTTTTAAACAGGTAATATTCACACTACCTGACTTCATCAAGCGATATGTGGGAGAAGGCACGGATAAATATTTTAACGCATTTCCAGCTGATCCCGCTAATGATTTTAACATCCAAATGGCTAAACTTGGTAACGGCTTATGGTCCGGCAAGTACAGTAGCATTTCGGAGAATTCATTGGATTCCGAAAGTACTGGTATTTCACCTGCTATGTTCAAAAATGTCGTGGGTAAAAATCACCCTGATTTCAGTACGAAACAACAACAAGATGCTTTTGATTTCTATTTACACCTTATCAATATAATCGAACGCAATTCTCGGCATGAAGCTAATCCAGTAGAAGGGCTTACAATTAGTTTGGAAGATCGTGTCGAGTGTATGAGCAGCAAAAASGTGAAGTATACACACCGAGACGATTACTGCTTACCTTTGCAAATACCTTTGGAGAAGGCCACAAATTTAGATGAGGTCAAAGAATATTTGGAACGTAAAACTGCCGATGGTGCAAACAATAGTAGTGACAAAAATATAGTGCGGCACAAAGTGCCACTACATGCATGCTTAGAACGTTTTTTTGCAACTGAGGTGCTTGAGCAATTCCACTCGTCAGCTACTAATTGCATCACCACCGCCAAAAGGTCCACTAGACTAGTAAATATGCCAGATTTCCTGCTGTTGCATTTGCGAAAGTTCACACTGGGCTCCGATTGGGTGCCTAAGAAGTTAGATGTATCGGTTGACATGCCGGACGAGCTAGATCTCAGCAGCTGGAGAGCCACTGGCATGCAACCAAATGAGCAGCCCTTACCAGATGCGGACGACAAACCGAAATTTTCTTTCGATGAAAATCTAATGGGAGAACTAATTCAAATGGGCTTCCCACAAGAGGCCTGCAAGCGTGCTGTATTCCATACAAAAAATATTAGTCTAGAAGCAGCTTCAAATTGGCTGATGGAGCATATTGGTGATGCCGACATTTCAGAACCGTTCGTTTTGCCCACCGATGGCATGGGTGACAGTAAAGCAAACGATTTTGTTGCGAATCCCGAAAGCGTTGCTATGCTAATGAGTATGGGCTTTGAAGAACGCCAAGCCACTAAGGCATTAAAAGCTACTGATGGCAATATTGAGCGGGCGACGGATTGGATTTTTTCTCATGCTGAGGACATGGACACAGATGAGATTCCACAAGAGCAGACTGATAACGAKCCGAGTAATACACATAAAAAAACTTATCGAGATGGTGTGGGTAAATATAAGCTCGTAGCTTTTATCTCACATATGGGTACTTCAGCTCAAGTTGGGCATTACGTGTGCCACATCCAGAAAGATGGACGATGGGTAATTTATAACGATAGTAAAGTAGCACTTTCACAAAACCCACCAAAGGATCTCGGTTATTTATATTTATACAAGCGATGTGAGTAAATACCATGAAATTGGATTAATGTGCATTTCGAATGAACTTGCCTTTATTACCATACATATATTGAATTCTTAAAAGTATGACACTTAGTATTAAATGCAAAGAACTGAAAAAAACTTTAATACTTCAAGAAGAAATGCTTATTATGCTGTTTAAATGACAATTGTTTGTCGCGACGAATAAAATTTCAATCGGATCTAATTTTTAAGGTTCGTTTTCATTGTAACGTAGCAGGCATTTCTCATTATGTTGTTAGTTAGGATAATATATTCAACTTATATTTATTCATCTTTTTGTATGTTACTACCTCTTGTCCAGGTTGGTTTCATAATGMATTCCACAATATTATTGAGTTTGTCGCTAAAAGCGCCAAATGAGAAYTTTTGTTGTACCCGCTTGTGTCCCATTACACCCATTCTCTCACGCAGCCCGTCGTCCTTGTATATTTGTAACATMGCTTCTGCAAATCGTTGTGGCTGCTTCTCACACAATAATCCCGTAGAGTTGTGCACAATTGTCTCTGTTGGCCCACCACTGTTAACGGCTATCACTGGTTTTGACATGTACATGCCTTCCAGTGGCACAATTCCGAAATGCTCATTATGGGGTGTATAAAGAAGACAATTTGATTTATAAAGTAATATGAATTTTTCATCATCATTCGGAGAGCGCAACAATAATACACTTTCTTGCAGACCGAGTTTATCCACCAGCTGTCGAAGCTCATCGTAATGTTCCAAATTTTCTAAAACACGCTCATCGTAGCCACCAGCTATTACTAAGCGGCARCGTTTCGCTTCCGTAGGTGGTAAGGAATCGATTACTAAACGGAAGGCATGTAATGCTAGGGCGTGATTTTTCTTACGCTCATATCGATTAATATCCAGAAAAACAAATGCATTGCGTGGAATGCCTTCACAACCATGTACACCGAATTCATTACTTTGCATCGCTGAGATCTGGTTTTTCATCGCGTCAAAATAATCGGTATTTAACGTTGGATATAAAACGTCGGGCACTATCTTCAGTCGGTGAAATGTATCACCGAACACACGTAAGGTAAACTTGGAATTTACGAATGTTACATCAGCCATACCAATGGTTAACTCTTCAAAATAGTTTAGTGGTGCGCGATAAACACTTTTAAGATAACCCTCCCGTGCGCTTAGTAATTGATCGGGAAAATGACAGTAGAAAAGAATTTTAGGCCGGCTTTTAGCTAGTTTCAATATAGGTACACCAACAGAAATTTGATCGCAAAAAAATATATCAATATTTTCACGTCGCGACATTACAAGCGATGCATACAAGGCAGCGTACATCATGCGAAAGTAGGCACATAGCGCATAGAATCGTCCAAATATCTTACGTGGTAACCAGTCGCCAACGACTTCAACTTGCAAAGTTCCGTCTGAAGTTTCTTTAAAACAATGCGTTGGATCATGGTGATTTGTCAAGAAGCTAACCTCATGACCTCGGGATTTTAAAGCGAGCGCTGCGTCGACTACAAGTCGCTCTGCGCCGCCAATCCCCAAATCAGGGTGAAGGAAGAGAATACGTACCATTTAAGCGGTTGCTTTCATGAAAATCGAAATTGAAAGTATTAATGGAAATTGTCAACAATGTTAAAAAAAATAACTTGGAAACACTTACTTATAACTTTTCATTCAATTAGCCTAAAAATTTGCATTTGATGCACTGACATGGATTGATGATTTCAATTTTGATCAGTACGTGTATTTTCCAGACATTAAACAGCTGATTATTGCATCCTTAATAATTCTCAGGTGTCGAAACACTTTTCACAGGGTAACATTTCAACTAATTATGTTTAAAACTAAAGAATAARGCATGATCCATCAATTGATGTAATTGAAATAATTTGCGATGAAATTCAATCTGCCACATTATTCAATTATATAAGGTTGAGTCGATAGCTGTTTTCCGTTTTGAATGCGTTGATATTTCTCCTTACGCATGAAAAATATGTACGTCGTACCGTAACTTTTTTTCATTTTACAACACTTTCTGAAATCTGTTCTGTATGGCAACATTTAGCATATTTCATGCATCAAACAACCCTATATAAACTGTTTAAGACGCACGCACGTGTTTACTTCTAGCATTATTTTGTATTTCGAAGCAGAATTTAACGTGAAACATAAGTAAGAAAGATGGTGAAGTTGCAAAAATCTTTAACAAAACCTTTAGATATAATCGAGAAAAGGAAAACAAAGTTACCGGCACCACCACTTGCAGGCATCTCAAAGTCAAACAAAAAAGAAAAAGCAGTTACTGTACTGGAAAAGTCAGTGAARTCCAAAAAAGAAAAGTTAGCAAAAGCAATTATTAAAGATATCGAAGTTGTGGCGCCTTTGAAAAAAGAAAAGAAAGACAAATTAAATAAAGTTGAAAAGAAGATTCCGAGCGAACCAAACAAGAAAAAATCCAAGACGTCTGGAAAGAAGGTGGAGCAGACTCCGAAACGTCCTTTGGTACTAGCACCGGCAGAATCACCTCAAGTTCCAAAATTAGTTGCGGCCAAGTTGGAAAAGAAGTCGAAGGATAAAAAGCCCAAAGTTCATAAGAAAAAGAACAAAAAAGTTAACCCAACTAACGTTGARCCAGCAACCCCTTTAACAAATTTGCAAAAGAAAAAAGCTGCCAAACGAGCCTACAAAAAAGAACAAATTAAGAAGAGGCGCGAAAATAAATCGGCAAAAACCAAAAAAGCTCCAACAAAACGTCTATTTAAGGCACCACCATTTGATGAGGAAAAATTCAATGCAATTGTATGTGCAGATAATGTGAAGAAAATAGCAAAGGGCCTGAAAAAGCAGGTAGAAAAGGAAGTCTCTGAAAAGAAAACCGCCATTTTTAGTGATTTTCAATACTTCCTAAATGTCTCCTGCTTTAAAATACCTAATGTTCCAAAACGTATTGTAAAGCTGTAAGTTCTAAATATAAATATTTTAAATAATGCATGGAATTAATATACATATATTTTTTTACTTAAAGCAATTTAAAACATTCGTTGGTTGATAAAGATGATGATGTTGCTATCATTGTGTCTGATTTACAACGTGGATCTAAAGTTGATTATGAACCAACAATTCAACATTATGAAGATATCTTCCGCGAAGCCGGTATTGAAGGACTGACAATCATACCATTTAATAAACTTAGGAATGAATGCAATACTTTTGAAACTGTGCGCAAATTTGGAAATACCTATGATTATTTTCTATGCGATGGGCGTTTAGTAGGACACGCATCTGGTTTTTGCGGAAAGGTAGATATAAATATTTTAAATATATAAATTACATGTTCAATATCATATGTACACTCTTAAAATAGGTCTTCCAAAAACCGCGTACAACATTCCATTCAGTACGTATGGATAATCAAAAGAATTTAAAACGAGAAATTGAGAAATCGTTATGTCGTACTGCTTACAAACAACTGGACAAGGGTGATCTCATATCAATACCAATCGGTACTCACAAGTTCACAGAAGATCAGTTGGTTGAGAATATTATGCATGTAAYGGAGCAGTTGAAGAATACTTACCCCGGTGGCTTGGCCAATATCCGTGGCATATATCTTAAAATAAGTATCGCTGGTACGTCATCATTGCCACTATTCCTCAGTGTTGCAGAGCCACCTGCGGAGATYCCTTATGTTGTCGGACCACGTGAGCAGCGTATGCTGAAATTGAAACGTGAAGCTAACGAGGTTTTGTCTAAATTCAATATGACAAAAGAAGGAAACTTGTTGAAACTATCAAAAACTGATGTGGAACGCAAACGTAAATTGAAGGAAATGCGAGCAGTAGTAAACGCTGAAACAAATACGACTGAAGAAAATAAGCATGATAAGGCCAATGGCAAACAAGCTGTTGTGCCAGCAAAGAAGGCTAAAACTGAGAAAAGTGTTATAGCTTCTGATAAAAGTGAAAAAAGTAAGTCTAAAGATGAAGAACCTAAGGTAGAAGAGCAAGGCGACGAAGACGAGGATGATGGCGAAGCAGAGCAGGAAGATGAGGATGAGAATGATAGTGGTGAAGATGAGGATGTGGAGGAAGATGATAGTGGGGAAGAGGAAGATGGCGATGATGATGATGACGACGACGATGACGGTGATGATGATGAAGATGATGCTGATGAAGATGATGCAGAAGATGAAGACGGCGCGGGGGATGATGATAAGGATGAGGATGATAGTGAAGAAGAAGATGATGAATAATTACAATAGTAATTTTACCATAAGTCTGGTTTTTTTAATTTAAATCTTTTATTATATAAAAAACACATTGAATGCATTGGATTATAAGAATAAAATATCTTGAAATACTTGCGATATTTAATCTTTATGCAGTAGATTTTACGACCAACTAATTATTAATATTTTTATGCATCTTAAATGGGTGTTGGTTCTGAATAACACTAGCTATAACTTTTTTTATTAAGTAAATCATTATTTTATAAGCTGTGTCACCCTATTATGAATGTTCAGAGACAAATGACACATTGAGAATTATTGAAACGTCAAATTGGACACACAGTACGGCAGCATGAATTTTTGTTCTGAGTGTGTTTTTCTTTTATCCCGTCTCGTCGATTTCATTTTAAACAAATACTTAAGGAAATAATAAATATTTGCAACTGAGGTAGAAATTATTATCGTAACGGATTATAATTGTGTCTATAGTTCTTTCGWAAAGGCAAAATATGTAAAACATCATAAATTAACTGTGATTTGCATGCAATTTCGTTGGCGTGAAAAAAAAAATTAACGTAACAATAGTTCTTGCTTTGACTTCAAGGCGATGTGTTATTTATTGCATTCGTAAAGGAATTGTACCGCGGCCATTTGATAGGTTAGCAAATTGCTGAATCCTATAATCTAATAAAGGCTGAAAACGAACTTATTTCATTTGTATTAGGGGCTCTAGTGATCGCGCCGCGATATGTGGATCTGTGCCCACTGTGTTTACATAAATCTGATTCCATTAAAATTCAATTGGTGCAAATAGTGTCACAGAGGCAGACCCGTTTCGAAAGGATTTTCCCCAAAACCAGTGCAAACGAACAAAGCGGCAATATTGATGCAGCTGCTGAAGATTTTACATCTAAGAAAATAAGTTTATAAAAACACTTGCTTGCCCCCATGTTGGGTAGTACCATAATTTTCCTCGGGAAACGAACAAATAAATAAAATATTGAAACTGCTATAATCTGTGGCTAAATCGACAAAATGCCTAAGATTTATATTAAAAAACCACTCGGTGGCATGGTGATACGTAATCGGAATGCCATTAAGGACGTAGTCATTACCGTAAGTAAAATATAAATATATATACAATATTTTAAATTAGTTATATTTCTTGTACACGTTTTTCTCCAAATCATGTTCCCAAGATAATATTTCAATAAGTGATAATGGTAATTGCCGATGATTCACACCAAGTGCACGATATCGCTATCTAAATAGCTTTTGCGGAGTATTAGACTTATATGCTACAATTATTTAAAATAATACGTTTGCCACTATGAATAAACTACTCCCAGTCAGCAATCCGCTAATTCCACCCACATGAATTGTTTTGAGCACACATATTTGAGTATTAGAGCTGGGCGGTGCTGATGTCGCCTCAATTTAATGYTTTTTTTGTCTGTACATACATATGCATATAACCTCGTATGACTCGTACCTACAAACAAATGTACTACGAATTTATGCACATCCACCCATGTGCCTATTTTATTAATTTTTTTCCCTAGGTTTATTCTCTTTCAGAAATCCACTAAATTTCAGCCAGCGTTTGATGTAGTTTCGCCTGGTTTAAATTGCTTGTACCTCGGCTCTTGATTATCGCAAGCTACTTTAGGATAAAACATTTTTATAAGGCTTAATTTGATTGTCGTACTAAAAATAGCCGGTTCAAAGCAGTTGAATAACTGAAGTAGAYATTTATTTATTTATGTACATATGTTTGCGTCCATCATATATGCATTAATACATGAGCATTTGTTTGGACATGCAAACCTTGTGCATACATACATATATGCACAGATACTTAAACGTACATTCAAATTAGTTTAAATAATGATGCAAGTAATTCAGTATAAACCGTTATTTTACAACAATTTTCTGAGAGAACACACCTGTTATATTAGCTAAGTTTGTATTTGTCATCTTGTTTTCTTTTTATRTTGACTACAATTTGCACACAAATAGTTTGTACTCAATTTCTTCGACATTACTGTATGTACATATGATATCATTCGTGTGAGTCCACTATATTTACTGCGACGACAGCTAATTGGACACGTCATGTTCTAATATTTTTGGGCCATTCCAAAATAATATCCGACGCTCAACTTGAAATTCATATTATAACAATTTAKAAATTATCGGCAGGTTATCATATATGTACATACATATATCGTTCGTAAGTATGTACATAGGTGTGGATGTACCAAAGATTACCAAAAGTTTGGAATCACTTCGAGCAATTTAAAAATAATTGTTTTATTGTTCATTGTCACATTGCTTATGAATAACGGAAAAAGTTTTTTGATATTTTATTGTTTATGAACGTGCAAATGAACGTACATATGTACATACATATATTGCAAATATATGCAATATATAGGTGTATACATACTAGTACCTATGATATTATACACATTGATTTTCCCATTCAGAAATATAAATGCATTTTTATTTCTAAAAATAGAAAGAATAACAAAATGTGTTATATTTTACTACGTATCRCTATAAAACCGAAGTTTTATTTATTGTACTTTCGAACGAGGACATATCGAATTGATTGTTCGCCAATGCGTATGAAAAAAAAAATTGCAACAAAAACTACTTAGAGAAGTGAACGTGTTAATTATAAAAAAAAAAGTTAAAATGAAATATTTTATGGTCTAAAGAACAACAAAAATCCGGGTTGTAAATAGTTCAATAACAATTTGATTGAAATACTTTTTTGGATTTGTAAATTAAAAATAAATTTTAATCCCAAATATCGGATTAAAAAAAATATTCCCAAAAAGCTGAATAAAATATAAAAAATCTATTTCGAAGTTAATCTTTACAAATTTATCCAGAATCGACCTCGACATACCAAATGCATACATATGTACATATACATATGTGCAGTATAGGACGAGTCCCCGAACGACTCTAACCACTTGTTTGCATGTCCAGCTAACTCTACTCATCTAACACCCTTCACCCTATGGTTCGATCCTGTCGAAACAGCACGTTTCCTGGGCGTACCGTTGGATGACCYCGATGACAACTTACCAGAACCTTACCACTTATACGGGAATTAGAATTAGCCGTTACAACAAAAACGTCATAATTTTCAATACTCTCGAGCAGTGGTCGGCAAACTTACACTGTATGCACATACATACATACAAATGTATACTATTTGTCGCTGATGCACTGTGCGCATAGCCTAAGCATAGCTGGTCGAATTATGTCATATGCATTTATTATAGGCATCGCTGAGCTACGCTTTTTTCTGCTTGCCACCCAAACGGTCTGGATAAGCGCTACAACAAAAACTTTTATCGTGGCTTCACTTGAAGATGTATTTTGTTACAAGATGACTATTAATACAATTACTCATCAATTATGGAGAATTTAATTTAATTTTCGAATTACTAACCAATTGTAAAACTATTTCAATTTCAAAAAAAAAAAAAAAAAATTTGACAAATGTCACGAATTGCTTGCAATTCGTTTGAAAAGAAAGTTTTCTTTCGTAAAGCATCTACACGAATGTTTCACAAAGTAAACATTAAAATAATATAAATATGTACATGTAGCCCAATTCAATGAAATATTGCAAAGAGTAGGAAATTCTGTTATGCACCCATATACGCGCATTTGTATATATTTAGTTACATACATACATATACACTTCAAGAYTGCATTTCAAGCTTATTCCATATATGCACATAGTTGTAGTTGTACGTAAATACTGCAAATATACGGCTAATGCACATTCCACGCACTTGAAATCATAAATAAAAAGTTTCAGTTCTCCCATGTTTTTATTGCATCATTTGAGAGATTGATTTCCCAGAACAGACTGTGGGCGAATAAGAAAAGCTGCAAATGTGAATGAAATCGTATTGGTATATCACGTGATTGCGTAAAGCTTGTTGCTCTTCTCTGCATCTCTTATTCGCGCTCTCTCTCTCTCTCTCTCTCTCTCTATGTTTTGGTTCACTTCCGCTCATTTCCCATTTTTCCTCATAAATTTACACATCTGTGTTTAGGAAAAGAGCTTTTCCTTTCTTGTTGATAGCAAACATATGTATGTATGCATATATGTACATACATACAATATTATATATACATATACAGGCTATAGAAGCTACTGTCTTCTTGGGAAACTTCCGAATRTAACGTTTTTTAGTTGTTCTGAGTTTTGTTGTTATTGAGAATGAAAGTTAAATGTTGTTGGTAAGCACGCAATCAAATGAGCGTACAATGCGTCCAGAGCTTTGAAAACGAGCCAGTCGGAATTTAAGCAAAATTTTTGAAATGTGAATATTTTGTAGTTTTAATTTTAGACTTTGATTAGCGTAAAAGATAACAAATTGTACTGAAATATGTAATATTTATAATTATGTTTCTGCGCCTAAATATAGGCAATAWTTTTATAATCTGAGCAAGATATTTTTATTTTATCACTCATGGCAAATGTCGGAGACCCTCTAAAAATATACATATGTAAATAATCAGCGAAATTTTGAACATGTACTCTTCTCAAAAAGTTGGCCATTTTTCGGAACCGGCGCTAGCATAGCACACAAACTGAACGATCAGAATCAAGTTCTTGTATGAACAATTGTTTTATTTGGCAATATATTTTCACGAATTTTGACAAGGATTATTGCAACCTCCGAAGAAATTATTCAGATCGAACCACTATAGCATATACATAGTTGTCATACAAACCGACCGATCGAAATCAAGTTCATGTATGGAAATGTTTTTATATATGTGAAGGGAAGATTTTTTTTTGAAAACAAGTAATAGTAATCAAATAGGTTTTGGAATATAAAATCTTACATAAAATAATTCTAATTTTGTATTTGTGCATATGTTAATTTTATTTCATTATTTGAA